TACTAAATAATAAGCGTTGTAAACAGAAGTGAGAAATGCTCTCTCGACACACCTTAGTGTCGAGGATCCGGCGGAGGCGTTGGCGAGAAGGGGCGGGACATGATGGCGGGGTTCTATTACGGCAAGTTCCCACGCCATGTTCACTACACAATCGATGTGAGGAACATGATGAGGGATCCGGCGGAGGGGCAGGCGGAGGGGCAGGCGGAGGGGCAGCGGCGCGGGCGGTTCAAAAAGGTGCAAGGAGACTTGGCTGTTCTAGTTGTATTTGACCCTAGGCGCGTTTGAAGCATTATTAATAAACCAAGCTGTATATTTTAGGGTTATTGAAGACCCCTTGCCCTCCCAGGCGAATGGCACCCGGCGAACAACCAAGATTTTTTGCTGGCGATGATGGGCGAACTCGGCTTTGCGAAGGCATTGGCGTCGGTGGTGGGGGCTGTGTACACATATTTGCAGGCGCAGGCGAGTGACACGATGCAGTCACGGCCATTGTGCGTGCAGCTGGTCTGCATCTTGACTCAATAATATGTATTCAGGAAAATTGCGAGTGACATATTTTTAAAAGGCACGGTTGCGTTTTTGGTTTTGTCCTCCCAGATGGTTTAACTAATTCATACCCTTGCAAGTAATTTTTCTTCATACCCGCTTATGAACAAATGTAAGCATTTAATATTCAATCGAATAAACCATACTAGCAGTATGAAGTGTTAAGTAGAATCCTTGTACCAGGTTCCCAAGGCCTGCACAGATCTGCGGCGGTGGCGGTGCTGACGGCGCTGGTGTTCAACTTCGAATTCGAGCTGCCAAGTCATGACGGCTTGTTTCAGGCGCAGGCGTATCCGAAGGGGTCGAGCGTCACTGGCGACGTTTGCATCGACGACAATGCGGCGAAGCGTATCAAGGAGCTCGTGGCCAGCGTGGGTCGGATGCTGAAGTACACCCAGGCGCCGGCGCCGGCGACGCCACCGGCGACGCCACCGTCGGCGCACACCAGCACTGCAGCTGGGTCGGCGCAGGCGCCACCAGGTTTGCAGGACCAGGCATGGGATGCTGTGCTTCTTTTTCTGTAGGATTTGATGCGGTTTGTCAATAACCATCTAAGACTACTGGGATAGTCAAAGAAGTCTTGATGTAGTCACTTGTTTCATTGATTGAATTGTGGCAGGTGCGAGCACAGGTGCTGAAGCACGCGCCGGCGCTTTGTGACCAGTTTGCCGCGTTTAAGGTGGACAAACGCGTGTGGGTGGTTCCCAGGCTTTTGATTTGCTATCCTGAACCCACACCTTTAGACCCCTCATTCCTGTAGCCCTCAACCCTGAACCACAAATCGCAAACCTAGCTATAACTTAGTACCCTAAAGACGTTGCACAAGAATACACTTGGGTCCTATACCGAGAACGCGTCGGCGTTGGTGAGCATGGACGGCGGTGTGTCGAAGGCGCAGGAGATTGTTGGGTGGCTCGATAGCAGCTTGCCTGCTATTACAAACAAATAATACTAAAACCAACCCCTTTTAAAAACACGCATACAAAACACAGTCTTGTCAGTAGTAACTCAAAGCCCAAACCTTCAACTCACTCAGGAATGCTCCATAGCAGTCGTCCTCCAGCCTGGCGCAATCCGTCAGCAATGATAACTGCTGCCATCAATGAACGGATTGACATGCTGAAAAATCGGAGCTTCTTGGCTGAAGGTAGCCTAGTAGTTCATTGTAGTAAGAAGTGTCCGTCGCATTGTAGTTCAAATTTATTTTTATTGTTGATTCGCTGGGTCTTCGTACTCCGAGCACACAATCCCACTCAGGTTGGAACCGGCATGAGCAGAGTTGGAGTGGCAACCATGATGACGATGGTTGGCGTTGGCGTGATGATTATTACCGCCGGCGTGGTCGTCCCGAAGGCGGCCACTATGAGGACTATATGTTTATCAACATGGTAACTGGGTTTACGACTACGTGCACTTGCACTTGTCGTCACATTGTAAGAAACATATTACATTCATGTGTCTATTATCAGTGTCTTTTTTAACAAATATGCACATATACATATACATATATATATAACATATACATATTATATGTGTATATGTAAATGATAAGTAGGTTGTCTTCCCAGGACCATGGTGATGGCGCAGGCGCTGGGCATGGTGGGCATGAGCGCAGGCGGTCCCGCTCTCGCGACTCTCGCGACAAGGGGCGAACGCGAAGGCGCTGGCGCAGCCCGTCGTCAGACTCACGGTGACTCTGGCGATGTCCCATACAACTGCGGCCGGCCGCAGTGAGTCTTCAAAAGATTTGAAAGCATCGGGGTTAGATGAAAGACTATCATTGGAAGGCTTTTGTGCTAGGGACTCGGGCGTTCGACTTTGGCGGGGTGTTGCCGGCTTTAATTTTCAAAGTAACATATCCGCAAAGCCATCCCTCTTAAAGATACGTCACGTCCTCAACACAACCGAACCCCCAAACCCTACACCCCCCTTGTCAAGCTTGCCTCTGAACCCTGCAGCCCACAGCACAACCCCCAAAACACGAACCCCGAAGTGCAAGTCCAACCACACCCACGCCCGCCAGTCCCCAAAACCAACACCCCATCCAAGCAGCGCTAAGCCCGTTGAAACCTAGATCCCGATCTTTCCCCGATGCAGGTGCTGTGGCGCTGGCGAAGCAAGTGAGTCGTCCACAAATGTGGATTGGCATCGCCACATGTGCGTCAGCCCATAAAGTTCGATGTGACACGGGTATGTGAGTACGAGGTTACATGTTGCGGTGATGTGCATAGCAGCTCTAATGGATATTCGGAACTATGCCGCAGCCGGAAGCAAACGTGAAGCGCGAAAACCCTTGTATATAGAGCACACTGAGTTTCGCTCGCGTAAAAAGCGGGTGTCAAGTTCAGATTCAGGTTCTTGTTGGTAGCCGGGATGAGCGGGTCAAGTTTCAGGGTATGTTTACACGGGATTGTTGTGTTTGGCGTTTGGGATCCCTTGTTACTGCAAGCACTATATGTAAGGCCCAAACTTGCCTGCATCAGGCTATATTATGTATACAGCAGTTAAAACAGCAAAAACCACTAAAATTTTTCGCCAGGGTCGAAAGCAACACCTAGGCTTTAGAATAGGGTTCTGTGGTGGCTCGGACATACGTCTGAAGCGAACAAAGCTTTAGAATAGGGTTATAGGGCCCATTATAGTATAAGAAGCTGTTAAGGAACCCCTAACATAGTGTAGGTAATTATTGAGGCCCCTTGTTTTAAGCCCTAAATAAACCGAAGCCGAACCCAGGTCTGAAACACACGATACTGCACCGCAAGACCTACTTTGCTGAATCAGGGCCCTCCATAATAATGGGAGTTTCCGAACATTAGGGTACCTTCAAAACGAAACATCCTACTTGTAGTACTATGGGGACTATTTTAGGGTCTTTTCTGGGAGTTTCCGAACATTAGGGTACCTTAAACAAGAAACATCCTAGTACTTAGGGGACTATTTTAGGGATTTGTTTTATGGGGGTCTCCGAACATTAGGGTACCTAAAGAAAGACACATCCTAGTACTTAGGGGGACAATATCAGGGTCCCCTTGTCTCGGAAACTCCCATATGAAGCCCGAGGCGTAGCCAGAGTTTGGCATGTGCTTTCATAAGCCTCCAGCCCTAAAGTTGAACTTCAATCCTTCATTCGTAGGGCCCTGAAGTAGCTATCTTTTCGGTTGACATTTTCTGTTGCAGCCCTTAGGCAAGTATGTGATGTTTCCTTACACAAAGGTATATAAGGTGTGAACCTACTAGAAAAAGTCACAGACTGCAGGAACGACTGCAGTTCAGTCGACCATTCCCTTCTCATATTTACCACTGTTCCCTAAACCCTAAACCTACATCCCAAGCCGTTGGACTGTCTCCCGAATGGTTCTATAGCCCCCTTAGGAGTTATTTCTTTGCATTTTTTGTTCATATAAAACCCAAGAGAATATTAAACATAGTATGTTTTTATTATGGTTCTAAGGGGGGTTATAGTAACCCTAAACCCTAAACCCTAAACCCTAAACGGTTATAGGGTTTGGGGAGCTTCGGGGCTCAGGCTGCGGGCCGTTTGTCGGAGTTGCCGTGGCAACGGAGCAGTGGGGTCGGAGACCCCCAGGCCCTGACGACCCTAGACCTTCCAAAATCCCTTAATTAAGGAATATACCTTAAATCATAGTAGGATCCCTAATATGATTTAAGGTATAATCCTTAATTAGGGGATTTTGGAAGGTCTGGGGAGGACGAGGATGATGGATGCGCCGACACGCCGCTATCGCAAAGATACTGGTGATGGAGGCCAGAACGGGTTTTGGAAGGTCTGGGACGAGCCTGAGGACGGCTGCGCGGGCGATGACAGCTCGTCTGGCGGGGTGCGAACATGGGAGTTTCCGAAAATAGAGGACCCTAATAGAGTACCCTAGGATCCGTATTATAAGGGCCCGAAACAAGGTACCCCTAATCTTCGGAAACTCCCACATGGGTGATGGATGGTGCGAGGAGCTTATGGCGGTTTACCCGAATCATCCATCCCTGCAACCTGGCTGAGGAGCCACACACAGCCACACACACACTCACACACACACACACACACAGCAGTTCAGCAACAGCAGCTCAACACAGCACAACACAGAGTGCAGCACAAAAAGCAGCAGCTGATGCACCACGAGTGTCACACAACGAGGGGTGAGGTTTCAGAGGGAGTGCTTGGGGTCGGTGGGTTGTAGATTTTCGGGACCCAGAAAGCACATAAGCATAAGCATTTTGTAGGGATATCCCCACCTTGTTGGGCTTCATTATAAGGGGGTTTACATGGGAGATCTGATGATGGGATGACCCTTTCTGGCATACTTCTCGCCTTTACTGGGTCCCTTAAGCTTGTAAGCAAAATCACCGAAGCGGAAGCCATAAAGCTCTAAGCAAAATCTTACGCCCTCAACCCTAAAGACCCCCACACCCTTTGCCCTGACATCCCCAATGCGCAGGGTCGTCCTTTCTGCGAGTCTCTTCGTCGCATTCCTCGTGGCCACACAGCTTTCAGCAACCCGCCGAAATAGCTGTCTTGCGCAGAAGGGATTTTATGGGCTTCTATAATTATAACGACCTTACAAGGTTTCCGGGTTCGTGAGGGCTTTGTGTCGGGCTTCTCGGGTTTAGGGGCCCCTAAATTGAAAACCCTAAACCTAAACCCTTCTCTTCCCCTTCTTGGGCATCCTTAACTTGGGAATCCTAAACCCTAAACCCTAAACCCTAAACCTTCTATTCAAGGGTAGGTGTCCATAATTTGGACCCTTCTCTTCTGAGACTTCGCAGAGGTATCTGTTTCGGGGTGTGGAGCCTGAATCCTGAAGCCGAAAGCTGGTCTGCAGAGTTTAGGGTTTCCTTAGGGCTACTTAGAAATATTTTATAACTTTTGGGAATATGATCCCTAAGAAACAGCTAAAATTATAACTTTTGCTGGGGTTCTACGTTCAGTATAGCTTCGCTCTGTTTAGAGTTTACCTATAGTCTCCATTGTAGTTCCCTTTTTTGGTTATCCAGTTTTATGGTTAGGATCCTATAATAGAGATTTTGGTTAACCAAAAAAGGAACTACAATGGAGACTATAGGTAGGGTTTGGTCGGTTTAGGGTGTAGGGTTTAGGTTTCGGTGAGGTGCCTCACGGAAGCACGGATTAGGGCTTGGGGTGTTGTGGGATTCCAGGGCAATTGCAAGCACATTAGCGGTCAGGACCTTTCAACCCTTAGCTCCAGGCCCTGAACCCGAATCGTACT